GCGGTCCGGACTCGTCCTTCGGCAACGCGCTCGATTTCTGGGCTTCCGGGAGCCTCGCCGCCGGCCTGAACGCCTCCTCGAAGCCACGGAGCTTTGACCCCCCGGGGACCTCTCCTGGTGTCTTCAAGAGCGCGGGAGTGAAGGACGAAATATCCGGGCGCTCAAAGGCCAATGCCGAAGAATCAAAGGCCTGGGAGGGTCCCGCCGGCCCTTGCGAAACATCCTGATCTGCAACGGGCGACATCTGAGCCACGTAGGCGCCGTTTCCTTTGCTTCTGGTACAGGTCGGAGGCACGTTTCGGACCCACTGGAAGCTGCCGCTGGGCTGCTGGGAGGTTGCGGGGACCTTCGGCCCTCTGAATAACGGAAAGCGAGGGACACTGCTGTTTGCCCAAAACTCCAGGGCCATGTTTTCTAAAGGACGCTGTGGCTCTGGACGAGGAGGCTGCCTGTCGGGCAAATTCGTACTGTTTTCCGCAGATCTGGGCACAGACAAGTTCCCGGGATTTATTATGGTATACACACTGGAAGGAGCGGCGTTCTTCGGACAAGGATGAAGATCCTTTGTCGCTTTGTCGCCGGCGTGTTCGAGGGGTGCAGCGGTGCTTGCGGGAGTGCGAGACACCGGGCCGCGTTCGGAGGCGGACGGCTGCAAGGAACCCTTGGGGTCCGATTCGGACGGTCCCGCAGAGGACGATGGAAGCTTCTGGCTGACCAAACTGCTCACAATACACCTCAGCAGGTTCCTGTTGGGCAGGAGGGAATTATGGGGGGCTTGAGGTTCAGGGTGAAAGGCGACCCTCTCTGCAGTCCTCAGACCGCCGGGTCCGGGCTGGACGCGCGAATCCTGCGGAGGCAGCGGCGAGCTCTCGCATCCCTCGTCGTCCTTCAACAACCTGAAGCTGTGGTGCATCTCGTAGTGCCGGCGCAGCGACCGGTAGTCAGAATAACTCTTGCTGCAGCCCTGTTCTATGCACAGGAACGGCTTTGTTTTTTGGTGCGTTAGCATATGGCCGCTCCTGAGCATTAAAGACAAAATCTTGGAAGAATCGATCAGAACGCAGAGAAAGAGGGCTGATCTTAAACATGTTATTATTACAAAGACGACTGCTTCCCGTCTCGGGTAATGCAGTTTTCGCTTATTACCGATTGCATACAAACCAAGTTTTGGTGGTGGTGGTGATCCCAGGCTCAGCTGCTTACCTGGCAGAGGGGCTGGCTGGCTGGCTGGAAGACCTATGGTCCCCCAAGGATTTCAGCTGCCTCTGATCCTAGTGGGCAGAGGGGAAACAGGTGGCAGGCCAAGGAGAGGAAGATTTGAAGAAGCAAGGTCTAGGAAAGCAGAACGAAGAGGAAGTCATCCTTGAGGATGAGGTGAAGAGAGGCTACAAACAGAAGGAAGAGAAGAGGAAGAAGAAGAAGAGACGAGATTGGATTTATACCCCTCCCTTCTCTACCCAAAGGTGTCCCAGAGCGGCTTACAAACTCCTTTCCCTTCCCCTCCCCACAACAGACACCCTGTGAGGCAGGTGGGGCTGAGAGCTCTTGACAGAAACTGCTCTTTTTCAAGAACAGCTCTTATCAGAACTACAGCTTGCCCAAGGTCATCCAGCAGGTGCAAGTGGAGGAGCGGAGAATCAAACCCGGTTCTCCCAGATTAGAGTCTGAGCACTTCACCACTACAGCAAACTGGCTCTCCCTCTCTGAAGAGGGAGAAAATACTGCTGGAGAACACAGAGAGACAGACAGACAGACAGAGACAGAGACAGAGAAGCGACAGGGCCTGTGGACAGGAACTTGAGAAGTGAGGAAGGCTGACGTTCACAAAGATTTGAAACCAAGGTCTGATTCTCATATCAGTCTCAGTGCCTAGCTGCAGGGAGAGACTTTTATGATGGGACCAACGCTCCCTCTGAGCTGTGGAGTCTTGTGAGCAAAAATTCTACTTTCTGAGCTACTGCCATTAAAGTTGTCTTACAAACTCCTTTCCCTTCCCCTCCCCACAGCAGACACCCTGTGAGGCAGGCGGGGCTGAGAGAGCTCTTGACAGAAACGGCTCTTTTTCCAAGAACAGCTTTGATCAGAACTACGGCTTGCCCGAGGTCATCCAGCCAGGTGCAAGTGGAGGAGTGGGGAATCAAACCCGGTTCTCCCAGATTAGAGTCCGCGCACTTAACCACGACACCAAACTGGCTCTCTGGGAGAAGAAGGTGACCATCGTGCCAGGTGTCATTGGAGCCCTTGGAGCAGTGCCTAGAAGTCTCAAGAAACAGCTGGACATTCCGGGCGTTGAGCAAACAACACCGGCTTGGCTCCAGAAGACAGTGAGTGTTGCTTAGAACAGCAAGAATCCTGCGAAGATGCATCTGCAATTCCCAGGAATTTGGCTAGCTCTTGAATTGCAGAACACCATCTACCAGTCAAATATCTGGCTGTGACAATTCTTCTTCACCACCATCACCACCACCAAAAACACAAGCTGGACTGTAGTTACTAGAAGCAGCAGACGTTATTAAAGGAAAGCAGTTTTATCCCGTGCTCTGTAGAGGGGGGAAGAAAAGGATTAAAACAGAACACCGTGACAATCCCACTACATCTTGCTGAAAACACATTTCCCATAGTGCACTGCTTTGCTATATGAAATACACTGTCCCTTGGTAAAACCATGAACAGCATACCCACAAATTAGTCACCCATGCCAAGGGCTACTGTCTTCACTAACACCCTCAACCCCATTTTCTCAGAATTAAATTTCCCCACACATTGCAAAACAGGTTTAGAAACCTCTCTCCTATTCTGTCTCTAAAACACTTTCAGAAGGAATGTTTCCGTAAAACCTAAAATCTTACTATGCTACAAAGCTACAAAGGATCGCCTTTCCCCACGTGTCCCCCAGAGAGCACTGAGGTCAGGGTCGCAAAACCGTTTGGCCCTCCCTGGACCGAAAGACGCCAGACTGGCCTCGACCAGGGCCAGGGCCTTCTCAGTGGCGGCTCCACACTGGTGGAATGAGCTCCCGGAGGACATCAGGGCCCCGCAGGACATTTACAGTTATGCAGGGCCTGTAAAACGGAGCTCTTCCGCCAGACCTTCGACCAGGAGCCGCCACTAAGAACACCAATAACATCAACAATACTAAGTGAACTGAATAATACTAACTAAATATGCCGCATGCCGACCGGGGCCATTTTTGGGGAACATCTATCACGGCCAACGGGTTGTTACTGCTACCAGAACTTTATTTTTCATTTTATTCTATTTATTGTGAGCTACGACTTGGTATGGTTTGTGTTTTATATTTTTAATCCTTAATGTAAACCGCCCTGAGCCTGCCTGCGGCGGGGAGGGCGGGATAAAAACTGGATTAATAAATAAAATAAATAACAAACTGTTGGCACCCGAGGCTTTGCGCCTCTCGTTGGTGTTCTACGCAGCACTCTCACCTCCTGGATGCGACACAACTCCACCACAGTTTCTGGTGTTTCCTTAATTGGAAGGGGCGGTGTGTCTTAAACGAGACGTTCTCTCTGTGGGTGCATCTGTGCCTGGTGACCGGGGCCATTTTTGGGGAACATCTATCACGGCCAACGGGTTGTTACTGCTACCAGAACTTTATTTTTCATTTTATTCTATTTATTGTGAGCTACGACTTGGTATGGTTTGTGTTTTATATTTTTAATCCTTAATGTAAACCGCCCTGAGCCTGCCTGCGGCGGGGAGGGCGGGATAAAAACTGGATTAATAAATAAAATAAATAACAAACTGTTGGCACCCGAGGCTTTGCGCCTCTCGTTGGTGTTCTACGCAGCACTCTCACCTCCTGGATGCGACACAACTCCACCATAGTTTCTGGTGTTTCCTTAATTGGAAGGTGCGGTGTGTCTTAAAAGAGACGTTCTCTCTGTGTGTGCATCTGTGCCTGGCGCTAAGATCTCTGCAGCACCAGTGAACTCTCATTTGGGGAGCGGTGGCACAGAGGATTTATCCTCTGGTTAGTAACATCTGAGCTGAACAGTACGGCTGTCAGTTCTAGCCCCGTGTTGGTGTGAGCTACCAGCCTTGTCCCTAGCACGCCGTCCACCCAGCGGTTCAAAAGCTTCGGCGGGTAGATAAAATGGGTACCACCCCTTAGAGAGGGTGGGCACACCAAAGACCCCCCCCCGGTGGGGGAGGTCTTAGCCGGCGACTGGAATGTTCAGCTCACGAGATTGTAAGCCTAAGAAAAAATCTCTTCGACTCCGAAGCCTGTAATGGCCCATTCTGGCCAGGCGGTGGCAGTGCGGTGCTGCAAGACCTGGAGAAGCTGACGTCATCTAGCCAAGCCAAAGTGACGCCGACGGAATAGTCTAACCCTGCAGCTGAACAAACCCTCGCCGACTGTGAATGTGTGTGATTTAAAAGATATATGTTGTCCTCCCTTACCCCCATAAATCATTGTTAGTCCCGTGTTGAATGAGTAACTGTAAATCGCTCAGAGCCAGCAAGCTCTGCAGGATTGAGCGATTAATAAATTGAAAGATGATGATGATGATGATTATTATTATTATTATTATTAGTGCATTTAAACCGGTTCTATTGGCAAGCTGATACCTACAGGTGGTCCTGCCGCTTAAACGCCTTGGTGCAGATCTTGCAGATGTGTTTCCTCTCCTGGCTGTGAGTCACGTAATGTTTGCTGAGAGAGCTGCTGCTGCTGAACACCTTCCCGCAGAGGCTGCAGTCCAGGAAAGGGGTTTGGGGGGAACCCTGCTGGTGTCTGCCTTTCCTTCCGCTGCCAGAACCGGATCTGCCTCCTGGCTCCACGTCTTTCGGCGCCGAAGGGTTGGGGAGCCCCAAGTCTAAACGAGTAAAGACAATTTCTTAGCTCACAGGATCGGGTGTAGGGTAGCTTAAGGAGTTGCTGGGGTTGAAATCTCAGCCATAACCAGTGTTCCCTCTAAGCTTAGTGTGAGCCAGTTCACAGTTCTTTAGCCTCCAGCTCACACATTTTTGTCTCAGCTCAGGAAGGAGGGCTCCAGAGCAAACTAATTTATGCAGCAGCCATTGTTCCCTCTAAGCTAAGCTAGCTCACAGCTTTTTAGCCTCCAGCTCACACATTTTTGCCTTCACTCAGGAAGGATGGCTCCAGAGCAAACTAGTTTAGGCAGTAGCCCAATCGCTCACTCACAGCTTTAGTGCCAGTCGCTCACAAAGTAGAATTTTTGCTCACAAGACTCCACAGCTTAGAAGGAACATTGGTCATGACCACATTAAGCCACCCCACCAATAAAATATGGGCTATTAATTCTAACCTCTCACAGGATTGTTCTAAGGCTCGCTGAGAAGAGCTGTGAACCCTCAGGAAAAGTGGCATGCAAACGGCAAAGGATTGCTTCCTATATTTTCCAAGGTGAGAGGCCTGTGTGCAAATGTGGGGGGGGGAGTTAAATGGAGAGGAGGAGGCCTAGATGGGAAAGGTTGCTATAGTTGCAAAAGAAAACCCCTCAAAAATCCTCTCCGCCCCACAAGCAGACTTTTTATGCTGCCCAGTGGTCAAATCCAAAGTTCATGAATCCGTCTGTTCATGCAGGCTATTAGTTCAGGGGTGTCAAACTCATTTGTTTCAAGGCCAGATCTGACAAAAGTTAAAGGTTTCCCTTGCTCGAAAGCCAGTCGAATCCGACTCTAGGGTTGCGGTGCTCATCTCCGTTTCAAAGCTGAAGAGCCAGCGCTGTCCGAAGATGTTTCCGTGGTCATGTGGCTGGCGTGACTAGACGCCAAGGTGCACGGAATGCTGTTACTTTCCCACTGAAATGGTACCTATTTATCTACTTGCAATTTCTTGCTTTCGATGACACTTTTTCAGGCCGAGCCATGTGTGCCGTAAAATCTAATGCGGGGTACCGGAGAGGTAAACTTTATCAAGGACACAGCCAAACCCAATGGACGGTATTATTTTTAGTCAAAAGTCAAACATGCTTAAAACATTACTGCTCTTAACAGTATTTCCTCTCAGTATCTCCCCGTTGACCACCCTCTCACTTTCACCACTCGTTACACATTAGCACTGGGACAGTAGACAAGGACATAATGCGCAGCCTCTGTCGTCTGTCACGGGCCGGATCGGAGCCCTGGATGGGCTGGTTCTAGCCCACGGGCCACATGTTTGTGCCTGAATGGGAATACATAATGATTTTTTAGTCCAGATTATTCATATACTTATATTTTTCTGCTTTTATGAATGTTTAATGTTAAGGTTTTATTAGGATTTAATAAAAGCCTACTAAGTGGTAAGGCCTCCCTTTTGTAGGTTAGAGTGTCTTTCTAGCTGATGCTGGAAGACAAGAAACGACGTTCTTTCCCCCCCCTTTTAAGTTGTTTGGATGGAATAGCTATCTAGCTGTATGGTGTTCTTAACAGGCCTTTGGTGCAGTATTGCTGGTACAGCAGAAGATAGGTTTTTCCATACATGTATTTGCTTGAAGTATAGAGTTCATGGTTTTAGTTGTTTGGGGTAAAACTCTGCAGTGTCTGGGTCACCACGAACTTTAGTTTCACATCTGAAAACAACACCTTTTTTGGGGGTATGAAGAATCCTTGGGTATTATTAATAAGGTTAGGTTAAATAAACATTTGAGCGATCATGTAGTCACACCTTTACCTGTAACTGACCAATGAATGAATGAATGACTACTCAAATGATGCCTTGTCATTTTGTGACCAATTATGATTTCTGGATGGTATCTTTCTGACTATGTCGTTCTGGGTATAAAACTTCATGTACTTCCTTATATTTCTCAGAAAGCAGTCAATGTTTCAAGAACTTCCTCCTCATTGGCTTTCGTTGTTGTTTTTTGGCTTGGGAATATATTTGTACAACATGTTTGACACCAATGCTCCCTTCTAAGGTGTGGGAGTCTTGTGAGCAAAACTTCTACTTTGTGAGCTACCAGCATTAAAGTTGTGAGTGGTTGATTTGGCTACTGCATAAATTAGTTTGCTCTGGAGCCCTCCTTCCTGAGCTAAGGGGAAAATGTGTGAGCCGGAGGCTAAAAAAACTGTGAGCTAGCTTGCACTGACTCAGCTTAGTGGGAACAGTGTCATTAGGTCTTTACAACAGCACTGAAATCCTACGAGGTTATCAGCCTGCAACTGCCAAAGCATCTGCCTCTGTAGCAGAACCTCTGGTTTCACAGCTACTCCAATTCTGCTGCTTCAGCACCAAATCGAGTGCTGAGCTGATGAACCCGTGCAGCGAAATAAGTTAGATTTAAGGAAGCAGCCATTTCCTCCAAAAAGGGGACTGTAAGAAGGCGGGCCTTCTTACAGTTAATTCGGCGTTATTAAGCCTAGCCAATGGGAGCTCAGTCTTGACCCATTATCAGCATCCATCTGCCATTCTTACTGGCACACCACTGCCTGCGTGCCTCTACATGGTGCTGATTTTTAAAAAACAAAATTGTGTCTAAACTCTTCTACATACATTAATACCCCCCCCCCCGCATTATTGCTGCTTTCTTTGTTTAAAACATTTCGCGAAGAGTCGGACTCGACTGTGCAACTGAACAACAACAAAAAAGAGTATTTATTTATTTTATTTTATTTATATTTACATTTATACCCCCGCCCACCCTGTGAACAGGCTCTGGGCGGCTTACAGGAGACGGCCGACAGGCCGAGACAAATAAAACAATAAAGATATTAAAATCCCTTTAAAAACAATCTTAACAATTTCCAACTGGTAAATCA